AACAAGCACTGTTGGCACATGTGTAAGCGAGGATGGGATCACGTTAGAGCTGGCCGCAACACAGTGGAGGCGAGGATGAAGCTTGTGGGTGGGGGTGGGGGTGCTCGTGTAGCGTACTGGTGTTGGAGAGGGGAAGGGTGGGGTTGGAAAGAAAGTAGGGGAAGAGGTTGACCAGGGGAGGCAACATGACAGCGAAAACGAGTGGTGGGGGACACCGGTTCAACCGTGTCAACTGAAATGCAGGGCGGCAAACACGAGGGAAGACAGTGGGTTGTGTGTTCCTAATGACGCCACATGTAGCTCGCGGAATAGGAGGTCTCCTTTCGCCGTGTGTGCACAGTTAGAGCAACTTTCGCAAATGTAGCCATAACGGTAACTTCCATAACACACATGAAGCATAGTACATAATTTTTGCAGGGCTGTCCACAAACACATAGTCGCCGTAATATAGTCTTCAAATTTTCTTTGTTTCTATATCTTGTTTACAATTTATATCAAACGTTGCAATAATTCAACAAATATTATTACAAACCATTAATAAAAAATATCACATAATCCAAATGCAATAAATAATACAATCAAATAAATTGTGAAAGTAAAAAATAAATTAACTTTAAACAAATTTAAACATATTATCTTCCAACTAGCTGTCAATGATGCTCAGTTAGTTTCTCCTTTGACTGATGATGGAACGCCCAGTCTTAAATCTTTTGGTACGCCTCAAGAAATGATTAATTGCGGCTTCTGTCCTTGTGAGGCCTGGCAATTGTGCCAATATCTTCAGTCAGTTGGGATTGCGATATCCCTATCATATTCTATGACTATGTTGTGTATGACCACACAACATGCTATAATATTTGTAAGACATCCTCTCGGACAATTGAAAACTTTGCATGCAGCACTCCAAATGCCCTCGGATTGTCTTTCCTCTAAGCCTCCTGCACATTGGCGATATGCTTAGGTTTCCTACTCTCGGTATTAGATACCCTGTTCATAAATATTGACAAAGATGGATAGGTGCCATTGACTAGATAGTAGCCTTTGACCTTTGTCATACTTATCATCGTTCAGTGTGAAGTTACAAGGTGAAGAAGTACCACCAGCTAGCCTTACAAACTGATGAGATCTCCGCAGGACATAGATGTCATTGTGAGATCCACAACCTAAAGTAACAATGCCATATTCATAAATCTTCGGAGGCAACAACTTTTTAAATTATTGTTGGATCCTTGCAATGCCCAGTGAATTAGTCGTGCCAAGCTTCAAGGCAATTCTTCCACCTCTAATGCATTCAATCAATACTTTCGGTATCCTACTTTTTAAAGACTCTGCTAGAGCAGCCTTTTTAACCAAAATTATCATAATGACTGTTATTATGACAATCAAACCGATACGTCGACTCCCCTTAGGTTGCTCTAACACCCGGCACAGTTCAGTCATAGTGATCCTAAGAAACATTTAGCAGTTGCTAAAAGAGAGAAGTTCAGTCATAACGATACGTCGACTCCCCTTAGGTTGCTCTTACACCCTGCACAGTTCAGTCATAGTGATCCTAAGAAACATTTAGCGGTGGCTAAAAGGAGAGAAGTTCAGTCATATCGGCATTGCCCACTATATGCGTGTACAGTTATGTATGCTAGTGTTGATCTTGTCGAAGTTCAGAGAGTGTAAACCTTCAGCCAAGGCTTCAGCTCTAGCTTGTACGCATGATCATTCAGACGCATGGTTTGGCCTCGTGTGCTGCCGGAGCTTGGCCTCTGCAGTGCCGCTGCCGCACCATCACCTTTCTCTCTTGTACTGTTTCATCAAAACTGACAAGTGACAGGGGGGCAAGGCGAGACAGGGGCAACCGGAGCCGCAGAATCACACTAGCTAGACGCGTGGTTCGGCCTGTCTAACTGTCTTTCGCCGAGCGGGATGTGATACGTGTCGGGACCGCGAGCTCAGTACCACGGCGACGTCCAGGTCTCTCTCTGTCTGCATGTGATGCCTCCTTCCCTGCTCCGATGCTTCTCCCATGGTTTACCGCTCGAGACACGTCGTTTCGCCGCTGTCGAGTGGTAGAGCAGGAGGTAAAAGGCTCCTTGGATCCTCTCGAGTTTGTTATTACCGGCGCGAGTACAAGGGTACACTTCTCCCGTTTCACCACAGTGCCTTGTAGTAGTACTACCTAACGTACTGCTGCCGTGCTGCGTCTTTCACTGCTCAGGAGTCGGGTGAGCACACCGCAATTAGGTCATGTTTGGTTTTAAATAAGTCACCAACTTATAAGTTGAAAAATGAAAAAAGTGATTTATTTTGCCAAACAGACTCAACTTATAAGTCACCTCAACTTATAAATCATAAGTTGCTCCACCCCAACTTAAAACTTATAAGTCACTCCCTTTTATATAGGTCCCACCATCTTTACATAAAAAAACAAGGTGAGAAGGTGTGCTCAAATGATTTATAAATCAGATGACAATCAAACATGCGTAACTTATAAGTCACTCGTTTTAAATCGCCTGACTTATAAGTCAGATGATTTATTAGAACAAAAAGACCCTTATGCTGCCGACCGGGGAGGCCTCTCGCTAGCTTGCTGGTTTTTTCTGCCACGCGCCTCGTCCTTGATGCCGGAAAATAAAGCGACCCCAACTTCTGTCAAAGCTCATCCTCACCCAAACGAACACACAACGTGTTTGTTTTTTTTGTCTCTTTAAGTCGGTCAGACGGCCACCAAAGTTTGGACATGTCGGACAGCCCATAGGTGCGCCGTGCCGGATGCTTTTCTATATTTTTTTTGGCAATTTTCTAAATTAAAGAAATATACATTGCTGTCAAAAGTTCTTTCGTTTATTAATTATAAAACTAAAATCATTAATTAAAATATAAATAAAGGACGACGATAACTGTCACACGTGTAGGCGTTAAGGAGTCTGCTACACATTTTGTGTGGTGTCTCGGATGACCAGCCCACACGTCTACGTCTGGGCAAAACAACTAGCGTCCACACGTCTTTTTTTTTCTTGCGGTCCCTCTTACACACCTACGTGTGGGCAAAATGCATAACACCCACACGAACTCTCTCAGCCACCTACCTCATGGTGCCGCACGCCCCGCATAACAGTCACCACGCGTCTCCGCAGTTGCCATGGTCCGGACCCTCTTCAATGTCCGTTTAACTGCAGTTGCCATGTCGCTGAATTATAGTTGCCATGTCGGACAACTACAGTTGCCATGGTTGCTCAACTGCAGTTGCCATCTCAGGTCAAGTGCCAGAGGCCATTTTGGACAACTGTAGTTGTTGCCATGTATGGTCTGGTTTATTATAGTTGCCATGATTTGAAAACTTTAGAGGTTGCCGCCTACTAACACTAAGCAGTTGCCATGTATGGTCTGGTTTACTACAGTTGCCAAGATTTGAAAACCTTAGGAGTTGCCACCTACTAACACTAGGCAGTTGCCGTGTAACGCTACAAAGAGACATGGCAAAACAATATGTTCGGGTAAAAGAGAGAGTTGCCATCTGCTTACAAACACACTAGGACAGTTGCCGTGTACCCTGCAAAACACATGGCAACTGACATGTTCAGGTAAAAAAAGAGAGAGTTGACATCTGCTTACAAGCGCACTAGGGCAGTTGTCATGTACACCGTAAAACGCATGACAACTGGCAGATTGGGTATGGGAGAGAAGACGGACGTGTGGACGAGATGACAAATGCCCACACACCAGTCCTTATGCGTGAGTGAAAAT